GCATGTGCATGCAGGCACGCGCACAGGCAGTAGCTGCATGGGCAGCAGGGCTGGGGCAGGGCTCTGGGTTGGGAGTGAGGGGCACGGAGGGGCGTGGGGCTAGGGGCTGCGGGTCGGGAGTGAGGGGCACCGGGAGGAGGCTGGGGCTGTGGGTCAGAGTGGAGCTGCCGTCCCTGCCAGGCTGAGCGCGGAGCCTGGACAGGTGCTTCTGGCCCTCCTTAGGCCCCAGGTGTCCAGATGTGGGGGGGTCTGTGTGGGACCAGCGCCCCACTCCGGCATGGGGCAGACACTGGCAGGGGCTGCTGCTGGAAGGTGAGCAGTGGGGCCTGGGGGTGCCTGGAGGGGCCCAGAGGGCATGGCATTGGGGTGGGGCGGGGTCCCCTCCGTGACCCCCTCTGGGAACTGGGCCATGAAGCGCACTTGGGTCCATCTGTCTTGTTGCCTTCCCCCAAGGGCTATCTGTCCATCCGCCCTGCCTGCCCCACGTCTGTGTCAATCCCTCTCCCCGGGGCAGCCTTGCAGTGCACGGTGCTGCATGTTGTTCTCTGGGCCCTGCATGTTGGCGGGGCCAGTGCTGGGGGCAGCTCCTGGCTTCAGGTGTGACTTCCCTGAAGCCGGGGCCAGGGTCCATCTGCCCAGTCCAGGCCCCACGGACCCTTCCTAGGACGTACGGCCCTAAACCTGGCAGCGCTGTGGGCACCAGCATCTGCCCTCACCTGCTCCAACCTCTGCTTTCCCCACAGTTGCCATCCTGGGCTCCTGTCTGCAGCCGGCGCTGGCCCAGCCACGCTCCAAGTCCGGAGTCTGAGGCACCAGTAGCCACGCAGAAGAGCTTCTCATAGTCTGGTGCCCTTAAAATCGGCTGTTTGATCAGGGCAGCCTTCACGGTGTCAAATGCCTGTTGACACTCCGACATCCAGACTACCCGATCAGGGTTGCCTTTTCTTGTCAGCTTGTGTAGGATAGCTGCCATTGCTCCAAAGTCAGGGACAAACCTTCTGTAGTATCCAGCCAGACCAAGGAAGGCTCTGACCTGTTTCTTTGTTTGTGGGGGTGACCAGTCTCTAACAGTCTCTGTCTTCTCCCACATGGGAGTGATCGTGCCTCCACCCACACGGTGTCCCAAATACACCACCTCAGATAATGCCAGCTGGCACTTCTTGGCTTTCACTGCAAGCCCAGCTCGCTTGATCTTATCTAGCACAGTGGTTAAATAGATCAGGTGAGATTCAAAGTCCTGACTGAAGATGGTGATGTTGTCAATGTAGGCCACTGCAAACTGCTCACATCCTTAGAGCAAATTCTTAATCAGTCTCTGAAAGGAGGCAGGTAAATTGCACATACCGAAGGGTAGGGCGGTGAACTCATACAGTCCCAAAGGCATGGTAAAGGCAGCCTTGGCTATGCTGTCCGGATCCAGTGCCATCTGCCAGAACCCTTTGGATCGATCGAGAGTAAAGACGAATTTGGCTTGGCCCAGAGTAGTGAGCGCAGAGTCCATCCTGGGTGTAGGGTACGCGTTGCGGGTAGCAATAGCATTCAGCATCATGTAGTCCTTGCAGAACCTGATGGTCTCATCCTGCTTCTGGATGAGTACCGCAGGGCTGGACCAGGGGCTCATTGAAGGCTGTATTACTCCCAGCTCTAGCATGTCCGGGTCTAGGTTGGGCTGGGGCAGAGGCCGGTGCCTGCAACGCTGCCGGGTTTGCGGCCCGGGAAAGCTCCACGGGGAGAGTCGCACCCGGACCCAGGAGCTCAGGCCCAGCCAAGTGTGCCTGGCCTGGGGTGATGGTGTGCACAGGTGTGTCTAGTGCCAGGGCAGGGCACACGTCTGTACGTGTGCACACGTGTGAGGGCACCAGGGCAGGCAGCAGCATGGGGGCCTGGACACCTGGCTTCTCTGCCGGCTGGGCACTGGGCACCAGGTCCTGCCTTCGCCCCCCGGTGGCAGGGTCTTGGCCAGCGCAGGAGCGAGGGGAGAGGGGCAGGAGCCCAGGATTGCGGCTGCGGGGGCAGAGGCAGCGGGTCAGGGCACATGTCTGTGACACACGTGTGTGCCAGGGCAGGCTCTATAGGACCCCCCACAGCACAAGGGGGCCCGGGAGGTGGAAGTGGGGATACTTCCCACCCCCCAGGAAACCCCAGCTCTGACCCCAGCCCCAGTGCTGGGGGGGCAGGGAGGGGACCCCCACCCCAATGCCAGCACCCCAGGGAGACCTGGGCCACACACAGTGCCGTAGTGGGGAGGAGGGCGAGAAGGGGCACCAAGAGGCACTGCCCAGTCGGGGTGGGACGGAGGCGTGAGCAGCTCGTTTGGGGGACGCGGGGAGGCGGCTCCCACTGCTGCGTGCACACGCTTGCTGGACAGGCATGGCTGGGGGGTGAGGGGGGCCTGGATCTGTGCGTGGGGCGGGGGCGAGTGACTGCTGCAGGCTTGCGCCAGACACCGAACTTCGTTCCTACGGCACTGGCTGCACTGACGCGCCAGCAACAGCCTCCGACAATGTCCGCCCAGTGTGGGGGGCTGCGGGTCCCATGCAGGCCCCCCATGGCCTGCCAGGTGTGCCCGGACGCCTGGGTCCCACTGAGCGGAGGCGGCACCTACCTGGGCTCTGCTCCAGAGTGTGGGGGTGGGGGGCGGCCCCTCACCAGCCCCCGCACCCTCCTGCCCCATTGGTGCCCCTCACTCCTGACCCGCAGCCCCTGCCCCACTGGTCAGGCAGGCTGAGGTCGGCAGGGGCAGGAGGAGGCAGCACCGCGGGGCACATCCCAGCTGTGCGGTACCGGGGCTGCGCCGGCCTCTTCCCTGCATGGAGCTGGGCTCTGAGTGGGCAGTGGTGGCGGTGCTGTGGGGGGTTCACATCTCCCTCATACGATGGGGAAGCCCGGGAGGGAGCACAGAGCACCATGAAGCCCAAGCTGAGCTGTGCTTGCTCCCAAAGTGACAACACAACATACCGACGACGACTGCCCAGTGCGTGAGGACGCGGGTTTGTGCCTGGACCTGCAGAAAAGGAATAAGGAGTTGTCACTTCCAGCTGATCTAGCTGTATTTGGGAGGGTTTTCAGCAGGCTGCTTTGTCTGCTACATCTGTCCTGGATTAATTAGTACAGCAAATATTTTTTTGCAATTAACTCATTTTGACTTGCAGGAAAAGATATTCTCCATCTGGGCTTTGATTGGTGTCTCCTCCTGATTTACTCCCCCTTGATTGTCCAAGGACTCCTTAAAACCCTCCTGTTTTTTCTGCCTCTTAATCCATTTCTTGATCTCTTCCAACTTCATAGAAATGGGTATAATCTTCTGTCACTGAGGAAGGTCGTTCCATCAAAACTGGGACTTTCTGGTAACCAGTAATGAACAGTTTGATTTACTGGGTTTCCTGTGAATTCCTGCTCGGGATTCTCTCTCTCCATTTCCATGACTGCCAGGAGGCTT